CAGCCAAATGGTAGCATTTTTTTACTACCGGTTCGCCCGAACTGGGCTGAACCAGTAGAATACCAAGTGGTAGCTAGGAATCAAGGCAGGTAGTCCTTGGGTTCTGTCCGTAAATTCAGCGACCTTTCAAAATTACTACAATGCTAAAATATTGAACTTAGAACCCACTCTTCAAAATTGCAGCTGTCGAAGTGGCCCTTATAATATTTATTGGCCTTCTTTCTCCACTACTGGTCTTACCTCCATCACTGGATCTCCAGCTTCTGTGGACCCCACAGGCCTCCCCAGCTTCAGCAGTCTCAGCCCATACCAAGGCACGATGATCTAGCCCAGGGGTGTCAAACTCAATTTCACGGAGGACCACATCAGGGCTGTGGTTGACCTCGGGGGGCTGGTTGGGTGTGGCCAATTGGGTAGGTGTGGCCAACTGGGCATGGCTGACTGGGTGGGGGTGGCCACCTTGATGCCTCTTCCTAAACTGCTGGCATATTTCCTCTTCACACTGGGTAGATCGGGCCGAAGTGATGTGGGCCGGCCCCTTACATTTTCCAGGACGGCCTCTGTGGACCGGATCCAACCATATAATGGGCCGGAGACAGCCGCAGGCCTTGTGTTTGACACCCCTGATCTAGCCTATTCTGTCATGCTGGTCCAGTCCATTCTGCACCTAGCACATTCCACACACCCCTGACCTGCAGGTGCACAGCAGAACCCACCACTTCAGCTTTTAAAGAGCCACCCCCCACAGGTGAGTCCCTCCACTGGGGCTCGCTGCTGTTTTGAAGGCAGCTCCCTGGCCTTTATGCCACAGAGACAAGGCAGGAGTGAGTGATATGAGACAGAGTGGCACAGTGGTTAGAGTGCAGTACTGCAAGCTACTTCTGCTGACTGCCGGCTGGCTCATCAGGCTCAAGGTTGACTCAGCCTTCTGTCCTTCCGAGGTGGGTCAAATGAGGACCCAGATTGTTGGGGGCAAGAGGCTGACTCTGCAAAACCGCTTAGAGAGGGCTGTGAAGCACTGTGAAGTGGTATATAAGTCTAAGTGTTATTGCTTTTGCCCTTCCTTCCTTCCTTCCTTCCTTCCTTCCTTCCTTCCTTCCTTCCTTCCTTCCTTCCTTCATTCCTTCCTGCCTGCCTGCCTGCCTGCCTGCCTGCCTGCCTGCACAGTGGTGAGAATGCAGCATTGCAGGCTGACTCTGCCCACTGCCAGCAGTTCAATCCTGACTGGCTTAAGATTGACTCAGCCTTCCATCCTTCCGAGGTGGGTAAAATGGGGACCCAGATTACTGGGGGCAAGAGGCTGACTCTGTAAACCACTTAGAGAGGGCTGGAAAGCACTGTAAAGTGGTATATAATCTAAATGCTATTGCAATAATCAAGCAGCCCTGAGACATGTGCTCCCTCCTGTGGTCTCAGAGCATGCTACATGCTTTGCTTGGGGAAGGTGGTTATGGACCTGCCTCTGCATGACAGGAGAAGTGTGAGATCTTTACCTAACCACCAATATGTTGGGGTTGCCATGACCAAACTTTATGATAAGCTCTCATTTCCATGATGGTTGCAAACTAAGGGTGTGCACAGCATTGACAATCAAGTCGTACTACACATCGCTGAGCACAAAATTCAGCTCCCTGAGAATCTCATCTTTCTTTGTTATCCAGTGAGGATAATGGCAGATGTTGAGTACCTAGAATAGGGTGCTTGAAATGCTAGCTGGATTTTAAAAAGACAAGGCAGGATGAAGAAACCTGAGACCTTCCCTCAACTTGGCTCATTCTATTTATTTATTTAAGCAAATGTATATGACCACCCACTCACTCTTGGTGACTCTGGGCAGTTTAGAAGGATAGAGCCCCAACACAAAAAAACCCCAATAATCCTCCATCCCTTGGCGACAACAATCAAACGAGACATTTGATGGGCTTCATATCACTCTGGGATACCCAAGACTATCGGCAGAACCAGGTCTTCAGGGCCTTCTGAAAGAATGCGAAGGTGGAGGCTCACCTTATCTCTGCAGGGATGATGTTCCACAGACAGAGGGTCACCAAAGAGAAGGCCCTTGCTCTCACTAGATTAGGGGTCTCCAAGCTTGGCAACTTTAAGACTTGTGGACTTCAACTCCCAGAGTTCCTCAGCCAGCCATGAATGATAGAGTTGGAAGAGACCTTCAGAAGGGTCATCTAAACAGGGGTCTTCAAACTTGGCAGCTTTAAGACTTGTGGACTTCAGCTCCCAGAATTCCTCCTCCAGTCACGTTAGCTTAGAAATTCTGGGAGTTGAAGTCCACAAGTCTTAAAGTTGCCAAGTTTGGAGACCTCTGCACTAGATGGACCTTCTTAGGAGAGGGAATCCGTAGCATTCCCTGCCTCTCCACTCTGGTGAGGTATGTAGATATGACTGGGAGATAATGAGTTGATGTCCTACAACTCCTTCATTCTTCATCATGGGGCTGAAACTGCTGAGAATTACACTTTAATCATTTGCTAAGATACTTTACCCATGCTATGGTATCCTTGGCTTGAAATAGACAAATCTCAACATTTTGGGCATCGGAAAGAGAAAGAGAATTTAAAAGATCTCTAGAGCTTGGGTTGTTTGAGAAGTTACCTAACTCTAAAGTTTGGCCAAACTTTCTCGTGATCATGGCCCAAAGCTGCAAATAGCTTAATGGCTGATGCCTCTAATTTTCCCTGGTTCAATTTGTGATCTTGTTATTTGCGGTATGTGTTTATTTATTCAGATGGCTGGAGAAAACTCTTCTGGAAAAGAGCTCTTTTTCAAATGTTTGCTTGAAATTATGAAAACAGATGACCTCCGCTTCAAACAAACAAAAAAAAGAAGAAGAAGAAGAAGTGAAAGATGCCATAGTCGAAGTGGAAAGAATTTTGACCTACTCTGGGACAGCTCTTTAATGCCTGCACCGCGCCCGTAATCTCTTTGATCCAGCTTTTCATGTCTTCAGGGCTGTAGGCCTATCAGAAAAAACAAAGGGGAAAGATACCATCCAGTGCACTGTGAAGTTAAATTCGTGGACATTTTCTGATGAATTATTTTCCTTTTTTAAATCCAAAAAAAATCTGCTTCACATTCATTTACACTTGGACCCATTAGGTTCTGCGCGCATGTCAGAAGCACAGAGGCGCTTCTGGGTTGAAAGGGTTAGTTGGTGACATCGCCTTTGCCTGGGGGGGGGGGGGAACGCCCAGTTGGGGACTCTTTTCATTTCCCCAGCAGGAGTTGGAGTGAAGGACGGGAGCTCAACCCCACCCAAGGGCAGCACTCGGGTTTCAAACATAGGTTTGCTAAACTCCATCCCAATAGCCTAACTGTGCTCCTGACCCATTAGGTCTTCAACGTTGACCATTCTAAGACCTAACAATCCCACAGTTCAGATTTAATTTTTTTTGGTATACTTCTCTTCAAATATGGCATCTCTTAAGGCAGGGGTCGCCAACCTTTTGGACCTCAGGGACCACCAAACTCATAATTTTAAATCCCGCGGACCAGAGACCCTGGGAAAATCCCCCAAAAAGTCTGCAGGAAAATTCCCCACCCCGTTTTCCTACTAATCAATCATTCTTTATTTGGGATTGCAGGATACTGTCTCCAGCTCCGTTCTCGGGGGGAGGGGGGAAGAGAGAGAGAGAGACAGAGAGACAGAGAGAGAGAGACACAGAGAGAGACACAGAGAGAGAGACTTTTGGCTTCATGCAAGGAAAGCAGAAGAAATCTTTCTTTCTCTCCCCTAAACTCCACCAGAAATGAGTCTTGCCGGTGCAGCCTCTTGGAGCAGGATGCCAAAGACTCATTTCTGGCGGAGTTTGGGGGAGAGAAAGAAAGACTTCTGATGTTTTCCTCGCGTACAGCGAAAAGCAGAAGAAGAAAGAAGTGGAAAGAAGCAGCCCGGTGGCCAGGCCAGGCGCATGGGGCGAGTGGGGCAAGTTCCCCCCTCTGCCCTTCCCTCCTCCCCTCCCCACCATGTTGTTCACAATGCAAGCGACGCAAACCTTGTGTCCCCGCGCAGCCAAAGATTAATTGCTTTGGGGGGGAGTGCTTTGGGGGTGACATTTCTCTGTGGACCACCAAAATTTTCTCACGGATCACCAGTGGTCCCTGGCCCACTGGTTGGCGATCACTGTCTTAAGGAACCTAAAAGGTGGGTAGAAGTGCAGAAAGGCCCTTTCTAAACTTTCTCCTCAATTGTCAATGCCCTAAATAAATTCTGCCAGTATGAAAAAATCCACCAGAGGGCAGATATGAGATTTGGAACTAATTGTGATGCATGTCTATAAATCCCACTTAGCAAAAAATGCAGATCTTGCTAGATTCTGATAAATACCATTTAAAAAAAAAAAAAGTAGAAGTGGTTAATCTAACAGACTGTGAATGAAAGATCTCATTCTGCCCTCTGGATGAACTCTGTTTTGATTAATATCTGGAATGCTATATCATGAAGTATTAAAAAGCCCTCAAAATATATCTTTTGCTAGTCCTTTATGAAGCTAATAGATCTGGTTGTAATTGCTTGATGCTAATATTAATGGCTGTGCTAACAATTAGGAAATGTCTTGTTTTGATTACTTCACTGTTTTTTTTTTGATAGGGGCTGATATTGTGAAGATTGAATGCTGGATTGTTCTATATTGTATTGATTTACAGTACTGCCTTTAGCTGCAAGCACACACTAAATTAAAATTAACAGGACCACTACAACACTAGGACTATAAGTACCATGAGAGGTCAATAGAAAACCCCATGGGTGACTCATAGCATTTAAATTGATTGCTTTAATACCCAGAAAATAAATAAATATATCCAAACTAGACTGGAAAAGACAAAAATTCACAATTTGCTCCCAACAAGTTGCTGTGCACAGCTTCCCTTTTTAAACACTGTGTTCCCAGTTGCAGCTAATGAAGGGAATCGGGGCCCTTTCCTCCCCCGTAAGCCATGCAACTCACATTCCTTCCTTCTCTGTTCCTCCCTGCATGCCCTAGGACGAAGAGGGGGGTGGGCCTGGATCTTCCTCCGAATTGCCTCTCCCTTGTTCTACCTCTTCCCTGCTCTGCCCAGCTGGACTTTGCCCTTCCCCAGTTTCCTCCCCAGCCAACAAAGCCACACTCCCACTCTCTATTAGCTGCTCAGCCTCCCCCTCCAAATCAGATTCCGACAGGGGCATGACAGTTTAAGACTTGTGGACTTCAAATCCATGCCTGGCTGAGGAATTCTGGGATTTGAAGTCTGCAAGTTTTTAAAAGTTGCCTAGTTTGGAGAGCCCTGCTTTAAATCTAAAAGAAGTCAAGGCTCACATAGCTGAAGGAATATATACTAGCCAAGATGCATACTCTTGCAGAACTGTGGTCTTCTTCAAACAGATGGGAGCCACGCTTTCTTGCACAACTGCTTGCCACACAGTTGCTTACCCAGTAAACAAAACACAGCCAACCGTAACTCCTGGACAGGTGCAACCCCTCCCCCCAGCAATCTATATTGCAAATGTCATTCTTAAAATCATCTGCACTTACTCCATTATGTTCTTCCCTTTCAAATCATTCACATAAAAAATCACGTTTGGGTGGGTACACCTATTTGTGTCCTGCACACTAAGTTTTCCCTCCACGGAATTTGAGTCATTGGGTCATTGCAAAGGGCCGAAGCTTGCTGACCTTTACCTGCATTTCCTACTGTTTTTAAAGCACCCACGGAGAGTGCAAATGAAAGAAAATGGCCAATGAGGACATTTTCTGTCCTGTTTTGAGAAAAATAGGGAAAGCTTTCTGGGATCTCTTCAAGCTACGTGTTTTGCACAATTATAAGTCCACATATCAAAAGAAAGTGACATGATAGCAGTCTTCCAATATTTAGGGGGATGCCCCAAAGAAGAGGGGAGGTCAACCTATTCTCCAAAACATCTGAGGACAAGACAAGAATTAATGGATGGAAACTTACCAAAGAGAGATCCAAGCTAGAATTAAGGAGAAATTTCCTGACAGTGGAAATAGCTTGCCTTCAGTGATTGGAGCCATCACTGGAGGTTTTAAACAAGAGACTGGAGGTTATCTGAAATGGAAAAGATCTCCCGATTGAACAGAGGGCTGGACTAGAAGACCTCCAAGGTCCCTCCCAATTGTGTTATTCTTATTTTTATTCTTAAACCTAGCCTACCCCTAAAATCAGACCTTCAACAAAGCATCTGTGGGAACCAAAGGTACACCTGCACGACTCCTTTGGTGTTTGACTCTATTTCTGCCCCACCTTGACTTGCTATGTTTCTAAGCCATTCTTCAAATCCAGAGAGAGAAAACCATGTGTTGAAAAACACATGGCTAGCCACTCTCATCAACTCAATTTGCAAAAAGGCCCTAAAGCTTTCTTGGAAAAGAATAATGAACAGTTGAAGGACGAGGCTTTGCTCATCACTCCCAAAGTACAGAGAGGAATGGGGAAAGGGATGGGGCCAGAGGGGTGGCAGTAACATTCTGCTTAATTAGTGCATTATAACTTAGTTATCTTTCCCATGTCAGTCACTGCGCAAATATGCAACCCCCGTTCCCAGCAGGCTGTCATTTCAGTACGGCTGTAAAACATTGTCCAAATTCCAAAAGTGTCTTAGGGAGACAGGCGTGAGTTAGCTCAAATTAATTCAAAACAAATCTGTTTGCAGTTTGCAAATTTCAAAAGACGACTTCAGCTGTCGCAATTCAGATATGCACAATTGTTTTTTCTCTTTTCATCTGAGAAATGTGGGGAGAGCATGCTCTTGGTCGCCAATGGCTTTCAAGAAAAAGTGGATAACCGTTTGTCTGGGATGGAATAAGGACTCCTGCCTAGGGCGGGGGGTTAGACTAGAAGACCTCTGAGGTCCCATCCAGCCCTATAATTCTACGAATTTCAGGCAATGGTACTTAAAAAGAATGCAAGATGTTCTTGACAGGAAGATATTGCATCTTTTCAGAATTCTTCCAGACAAGCACCTTATAGACTTACTGGTATCTTGAGAAGTTTGCATTAATTTTTGGTAACATTTCTAGTGTCTCAATTTGTAGCTCAGGGTTGAAATGAGGGGGGCTTGGTGCACTCTGAGTTGTTTATTTTCTTGCAGATGTTTCCTTACCCAAAGTAGTTGGGGTATGTTACCTAGTTTGGGTAGTGAACCATCTGCAAGAAAACAAACATAATTAAAAAAGAGCACCAAGGACCCCTCATTTCTAGTGTCAGTAAAATGCTTTCTCCCAGTTGCATACAACTCTTAGTTTCCTAATATCTGATGCTTCCTAAATGTTGTCCCAACACACCTGAAAAGCAGTTGTGTCCTTTATCTGGGGAAAACTCTCTTATTGCAATCTTACACACACATTCCCATGTTTATGGCTCTGTTCTGCACCTGTACAAATAACTTTCATTGTGAATATGATGAAATGGAGAAGTGAAATTGTGGCAATCTCTGGATTCTCACACTTCACGTCTCCCTAGGCTAAAATGGACTGTGTATTAAGTCTCACCTCATTTACCCTTTCTGCTTGACAGCCTGTCAACAAAGCAACCTGTTTGGCAGGGGAAGAATGCTTTCAACTGTCAAAAGCTAAATTGATGGCCTCTGCAAACTAAATTAAAAAAAAATGCTGCCTTCCCCACTAGGAATCCATTTTTTTAAACACGCAAAGATTTACCAGCCTTCTGAGAAACCAGGTGACTTTCAGAAACTCTGAAACATTCAACCAGATAAACCTGCTAGGAAGTTCTATGGGTGGTCTTCTAAAATGCACAGCATCCTGGCTACGGTAAACAGAAGGCATATATAAACCAGATTCCAATCACTGGAAAGGGATTGGAAGCCCAGTGATGTCCTTCTTAGACCCACATTTAGATCATCTTGTCATGCCCCTGTTGGAATCTGATTCAGAGGGGGAGGCTGAGCAGCTTACAGGGAGTGGGAGTGTGGCTCCGTTGGCTGTGGAAGAAACTGGGGAAGGGCAAAGTTCAGCTGGGCAGAGCAGGAGAGAGGTAGAACAAGGGAGAAGGGGTTCAGAGGAAGACCCAGGCCCATCCCCTCTTCATCCTAGGGCATGCAGGGAGGAACAGAGAAGGGAGTAACATGAGTTGCGTGGCTTACAGGGAGGAAAGGGCCCTGATTCCCTTCATTAACTGCAGCTGGGAACACAGTGTTTAACAAGGGAAGCTGCGCACAACAACTTGTTGGGAGCAAATTGTGAATTATCTGGTATCGTCGAGGCTTATCTGTGTTGCTAGCGTCTTCCCAACTGTGTGTGTTTTGCTATGCTTTCAAGTCTGCAATTCCTTCTCCTGCCCTGTCAAGTTAATTACTCGAGTGTGGTTTGTTTGGATTTTTAGTTACGGTTTGTATGTACTTTGTTTTTGGACTGAATTTCCTCCACTTAAAGGCTGTTCCTGGGAGAGTTTTTCTCCAGCTGAAGGTAACCTGGACACTGGGGGCAACGTTGGAGATAATCAAGGGACTCTTCTTGCTTATTTGACTGTGTTGCCTTTGTGCCACGCCCGGGTCATCACAACCTTGCCTTCTAAATGTGGAAATGCCTTCAACTTCCTACTCTTTAGAAAGACTGGTTATTCTGCAGGGCCTTTGAACTCTAAATGATGAGGGAACAACCTTGTAATTAGCTGGTTAGTCAATTTGCGTATACTATTTGTCAATATCTGGGGATTTTTGTTTGATTTTCAACCATCTTGAAGTAGAATTATAGAGCTGAAAGAACCACAAGGATCTTCAAGTCCAACCCTCTGCAATACGCAGAGAACCACTGAAATAATTCATGAGAGATGACTGTCCAGCTTCTTCTTTTGAGCTTCAGAGATGGAAAACTGGTGTCCTTAAAATAGGTTTGAAGCTCACAAGAAGAAGCTGGACCATGAAAGTTATAGTTCAGCAGCATCTGGAAATTTCACAATTTACAACATTTTTTAGAAGAAGGTTTAAACAACTTCCAAACAATGGAAATTTGCAAGACCCTGTTGTAAATATATTGCAATATATATTTTACCTGGATATAGAATGTCCGGTAGCTTGTTATAATTTCGAAGAGATTATCCCTCATTAGAAGGTCACTTGAAAAACAAACAAAAAAGAAGAAGTATTAACCTTAAACTTACCTGCACATACCAGGAACATTTTTCTGAATGTCAATTTCTTTGAAGAATTAATTCAATATTCATACTAACTGAAACTGGAATTGGTGGCTTTGCTTGGTGTTGTTTCTGAGACTCTCGCTGGGATAATTTGTCAGTTCAAGAAACCTCAGAAGCAACATGGGATGCCTTTAATGAGACAAACTACATCACTTCTGCATCTATGTTTGGTACCTCACGAAGTCTGAAAGGTAAAAAGGCTCCTTCAAGTCAAGCCTGACTATTAGTGACATCACTTTCATGCCACTTTCTTGGCTACAAAACGGAAGCTTCCTTAAGCTACGGTACTCCGTACTCAACGGCTTTGAAACTCCTTGAATTTGGTACTCAACACATTTTGACGTGAACGTTTTGTCCCGGAACTCATTGGTTTGGTACTCAGTGCACAAGCTAGAACTTGTCGGTGTTGGCTGCCTGGTGATTCACTATCTTATCCCTTATGGGAAAAAATGTTTGATAATCGTTGGTTTTGGTATTCATCACACTTCCCAGAACCGATTAACGAGAACTAAGGTACCACAGTACTAAAACAAAAATCACTCTGCAGAATTACCTGGAGGATTATCTCCCACTTTTCCCCAAAACTATTTTGCAGAATAGTTTCATCTGTCCACCACTAGCAATGTAATCTGAGTAGCATTTTTTTTATCCCGGTGAAATGACATGGTGTCATGATCCCTCTAACTGAGATGGTGGACGGCAAACAAAACCAAAGCGGAACATCCCCTGCCTCTAAATACTGACTCATTCCACAAGCGATTTGGCAGCACAAATACCAATACTAAGATAAAATGCCCAGGTATAATGAACACTCCTACCCAGATTTGACGAGACATTCATGAGTCTTCAGAACATCCTTCAGGAGGATTGACCGCAAGGGCTCTTTATCCTGACAAGATAAGCAACAGGGCAGTGCACAATTAGCCAACAGATGAGGACAGATGCCGTGTGGGTTGGAAGGTAGATGAAAAGCCAAGAATAAAATTCATGAATGACTCATTACTCAAGCAAATTTCTAGTGCATGCAACACTCTTTGGAGAAAGATTTTTGACATTTGATGTATCATTTTTGCAGGCCGCTATTCATTGATGCAGGTATCTGACATATTAATACTGACAAATAAGGGGGATGCTGTCAGACCTGGCCACCACTTAAACCTGTAGGCGGACCCGTAGCTAACATTATGGTTGGTTCAGCAAACTGCCAAATCCCACCCCTGGCTGTCCCCGCCCACCCCACTTTGCCCCTCCCAGGAGTCTCCATGCAGTCCATTTTGGATGTGAGGTAAGTGCAGTGCCCACGTGGAGACTCGGGGAGGGGGAAAATGGGCCTCCCAGGCAGTAGTGGGATTCGATTTTTTTTACTACCAGTTCTGTGGGCGTGGCTTGGTGGGCGTGGCAGGGGAAGGATACTGTAAAATCTCCAGTCAGAGGTTGATATTTGCCGGTTCTCCGAACTACTCAAAAGTTTCCGCTACGGGTTCTCTAGAACTGTTCAGAACCTGATGAAGACCACCTCCGCTCCCAGAGGCCCAGAAGGAAATGGGCCTGTTTCCAGCCTCTGGAGGGTCTCCAGAGCTCAGGGGAGGCAGTTTTTGCCCTCCCAGGGGCTCAAGCAAATCCTCTGGAGCCTGGGGAAGGCGAAAACACCCCCCCTCCCCCGCTGCGGTGCAGGAGGCCAACTAGGCCACGCCCATCATGGCCACACCCACCCAGCAATCGGTGAAATTCTTGAAGTCCACCCCTGGCTAGAAATGATCCTTGGCTCCGTTTGCTGGGAAAGGTAGAGTTTTATTAGAAGTCAAGTGTCTTGCAGTACTGCATAGCCAGAACTGTGAACTGTGTGCCAAAAACCCCTCTTGACTTTTCTCTCCCTTAACTGCCTCCTGTCGCTGACCCCTCCCCCTCCATGGCCAATCAGGTTCAAGCAAGATGTTTCCAGAAGGATCAGTTTAAGTGTAGATTGGTATGCAGCTGCCTTCTTCTCCCAGCTGGCTTACCTTGAGGCAGCATCTCGGGGAGATAAAGAAGTTACTTTCATTTTCCCCCAAGCATTGCCCTTCCCATCCACCCTCCCCATAGTTTAGGGCAGGCTGGGTAGCGCAAGGAAGCATAAGGTGGCGACTGACAGACACATTTGCGATAAAAGGGGAGGCAACTGAGCTATGGCACAAGTGAATTTTCAAAGTTCCCTGCTAGAGTTTTACAGTTATTTTTTCTATAGGTTTGGAATTCCTTTTTGCATTTAAGCACGTCACTAAAAGGGCTTGTAATATCTGGCTTTTACCATCAAGATACAAATAAAAGTGAGGATGTCTATGGAGATTCTCCATCATCCAGGTCATAGTTGTCCCAAAGGTGCTTTTTCAAGAGGCCACTGGATTTTCTGGATTTTCTTTGAAGATATTTTGCTTCTCACCCAAGAAGCTTCTTGGATGAGAAATGAAACATCTTCAAAGAAAAACAAGAAAGTCCAGTGGCCTCTTGAAAAAGCACCTTTGGGCAAAAGTGAGGACATGTATATAATCTTTATCTATCTTTAACTTTAATCTTTTATTGATTATATTGCGACTTTGTTGATTATTGTGAGCCATCCAGAGTCATTAAAAGTCAGGCAGCACAGTACCTATAACAGCAGTTAGGAAAATGGAAAGTCACTCTTTATTATTCTTTCTTTTTTCTTTTCCCCTTTTTTCTTTTTCTTTCTTTTTCATTTTTCTATTTTTTATTCCTTTTATTTTTCACTTAAAGCTTGTATTGTATTTACTCTGTGGAAAATTATTTTTATTAAAGCCTTTTTTCAAAATAAAAATAATACAAACATTTAAAATGATTTTAATAAAAAATATTTTTGTGAGGGGGAGTCAAGCAGCATATGAGTTTAATAAATTATTATAATCTATTGTTTTGTTGGAGCAAGTCAGATAATACCGCTGTGGAAATACATTAACTTTGGGGGATTAAAGTTAATTTCATCACAAATAACAGATGAATTCAATCCTTGTCTCCAAATGTGGGACAAAATTACTACCAGATCAGAAAATGAATCTTTGTGAGTTTTGTGCAACAGAGAAGTGTGACCTTTTGCTTCAGTCTTCAGTTACAACTTTGAAACATAACATTGCAGTTTGCATAACATTTGCAAAACAATAGTGTTTTACTTGATTTTCTTTTCACAATGAATTTTGATGTTTGTTGTTTTTAAGTGTTAACTTGTTTTACTGTGATGCCTTTATTTAAGACCGGTTTAATGTTCTCTTACAAACCTAGTTCTTACATTATGTCAAGCAGGTGATTTTCTTGGCTTTGATTCAGTCTGTTGCACAAATCCACCTGCAGGGGTTCTAACAATGGTTTATGGCTTAGCAAGTTATGAGAATCCAGCCAATTGCTGCTGAATCACCAAACCACAACTAAGCAATTGTGTCTTTGCATCCTGTATGAGCCTAATTACTGACAGAAAAAGAGAGCGTAGAATTATCTCTTCCAAATATTACATTACTTTTTCTCAAAAACAGTGGTTTTCTTCACCACGGACCCCTTTAAATACCTTTGGTGGCCATAGGCCACCAAAGTCAAGATTTAAATTATAACATTTCTTCAAGCCTTTGTGGACCCCTTGTGACAACAAATATAAGGGATGCAGTGGCTCAGTGGCTAAGACGCTGAACATGTTGATCAGAAAGGTCGGCAGTTCGAATCCCCAGTAACGGAGTGAGTGCCTGTTACTTGTCCCAACTTCTGCCACCCTAGCAGTTCGAAAGCATGTAAAAAATGCAAGTAGAAAAATAGGGACCCCTTTGGTGGGAAGGGAACAGTGTTCTGTGCGCCTTCGGCATTTAGTCATGCCAGCCACATGACCACGGAGACGTCTTCGGACAGCGCTGGCTCTTCGGCTTTGTAATGGTGATGAACACCGCCCCTTAAGCCAGAAACAACTAGCATGTATGTGCGGGGGAAACCTTTACCCTTACCTTTACCTAGATGTCTGTGGACCACAGGTTGTTAAAACAAGGGTCCGTTCCGGATATGGTATTCAGCAGGTTCTGACCAGTTCTGGAGAACCGGTAGTGGAAATTTTGAGTAGTTCAGAGAACTGGCAAATGTCACCTCTGACTGGAGAGTTTACAGTGTCCTTCCCCTGCCACGCCCACCAAGCCACGCCCACAGAACCGGTAGTAAAAAAAATTTGAATCCCACCACAAGATCTTGAAGAAACTTTAAATTTTCTGAGGCATCAGCATCCCTTTTCAACCCTATCTGTCCTAACCTGGTTTTACCACTGCAGTCCTGGGACAAATATCCTTCTTTGATATCAAAATGCAATTTGCTTCCCAGAACATGAAGATTTGGTTCAAAGGAAGAGAATCTGCAGCCATCTTCTCTGCAGCTATCAGGGAAGAGAGACAATGAGACGAAATCACAGCTTTGAAAGGTCTGGGCTATTTACCTGCTCACATTTGAAATAGTTGACAGAATTTTCGTCCAGCATGAAGTAACGGCGTTTCCAGCTCTTTCTCTGGAAGGCAAAAAAAGAATCCCTTTTAAACCGTTCTTCCAAATGCTCCATGTAACACAGAGGCCATTCTGAGCAGATGCTGAGAATGGCTGCTAAGAACCTGCACTGGTTTTTACGTTTGTGTCGTGTGATTGAAATTCCAGCTGTCAGCGTTCCAACTAACCAACTCCAACCCAATAAACTCTGAGACAGGCATTTCCTCAAAGTTCCATTTTATTAGAGTTGTCCTATCGGCACATCTGGGAAAACCTGAATCTGAGAGTTCCTGGTTTTCCCCTTCCCAAAAGAGAAGTCAAAGATCCATCCGTCCATCACATGGTCCAATCAAACCTCCGTCCCAACTGGAGACCCTTCCTCCAGACACTCCCTTCCAGGTGCAGGGCAACATGTCCTTGACTCTCCGAGAATGAACGTTGTTGTGCCTAATCACTATGAAATTCCCCCTTCCAAATTCCCAGGCCCTGAATGTGGCAGCCGCGAAGCTTCCAAGTAAAAAATGGCGTCCAAGGCTGACACCAGCTTTAGCTGCAGTGTGAAGGCTGCTATCTTAAGTGTCTACGGAGATTCTCAATTGTGAAGGTTGTCATGGTTGTCCCAAGCTGCTTTTTCCAAAAGGCAACTGGACTTTCTTGTTGTTGTTGTTTCTTCCAAAACGTTTTGCTTCTGATCCAAGAAATGAACTGAACGAAGAAGCTTCTTGGATGAGAAGCAAAACATTTTCAAAGAAAAGGGGGAAAAAACACCAAGGAAGTCCAGTTGCCTCTTGGGGCTGCCATCTTAACTTTTGATGACCACATCCTGAAAACCCACCACCCCTGTAACCAAGTGACAAGTGATGGTGAGCTCAAATCCAAAGACACCTCCAGGTGAGGGATGCTTTCTCCCTCTGTCTTTGGTATTTCTTCAAGGTCGTCAGGTAAGAAGCACAGCCAGGAGTACTCTGTCGAATTGTATATGCAAAGAGTCTTGGAAGTCTGAACATATTTCTCCTTTCCTCTCCTTTTATACTCCAAAAACAAAACAAAAAACAAAAACTAGGTAGATTCCCTTCTGAGACACTTCCCATGTCCTCCCTCCTTCTATGGACTAAGACAAGGTCCCCCAACTCCCAGTCCGTGGACCAGCACTGAGCTGTGGCATGCCAGAAACTGGGCCGTGTAAACAAGCAAAGCCCCATTCGCAAGATGCAGGCAGCATTGCGTAACCATGCCCCACTTTGGTCCATGGAAAAAAACACTTTCCACGGAATTTGTCCCTGGTGCCCAAATTGGGGGGCCGCTGGACTGAGATATTGTTGACATTCCAGGTCTCCAGTCTGCAGCTCTTCCTCCTGCCTCCCAAGGTCATTCCCGCATACCATTTGGGTCTTCTGTTGCAGGAAAAGAACCTCTTGCTTGTCTTTCCCTTTTCTGCTTTCTTCTTCCTTTTTGCAAGGAGCACAAATAGTCCTTGACTTACAACCATTTGTTTAGTGACTCTTCGCAGTTACAATGGCGCTGAAAAACGACTTTGCACAACTGTTGCTTTAAAGCAGCATTCCCCTGATCACATGATCATAACTTGGATGCTTGGCAGCCAGCTCGTATTTAGGACAGCTGCAGTGTGCCAGGGCCATGTGATCTTACCTTTTGCAAACTTCTGACCAACGAAGTCAAATGAGGAAAGCCAGATTTACTGAACAGCTGCATTACTGACTTGTTTGGCAACTGGTTCATACTTATGACCATTCCAGTGGTGGGATTCAAATATTTTTGCCACCGGTTCAGTGGGGTGTGGCTTGGTGGGCGGGCTTTGCGTGCGTGCTCACACTTTGTGTGCACGCGCGCACCAAACGCATACTTTGCGCAGGTGCAGAAGCGTTCTAACTCGCCTTCTGCAAGCCTGCATGATCCCGGTTGCTTCAGCAGCTGCCGCGTGGCACTATTCTATGCCGTACAAAGCAGCTGCATTTCAAATTCAGCGGATAAAGGTGAGTATGGGAGCCCGAGCGGGCAGGTGGGCCCAACAGTAGAGAGGCAGAGAGAACCAGTTTGGTCTCTACTGCTCATCGCTGCAACCGGCTCACCAGAACCAGTCCAAACCGGTCGAATACCACCACTGGACCATTCCTGTGTTCCAAGGTCATGTGATCTCCTTTTGTGACCTTTGTCAGTATATTCATGAACTGGAATAGAGCTTGGTAACAAGGTCAGCCAATGAATAGGCATAGCAACTAAATCAGCCAATGAGGATAGTTTAGAAACTGAAACTAAAAGTAGCTTAGGCGTGGCTCTATATGAAGCTCTGCAACTCTGAAGCTATGTTGGAGCTCTAGGTCTGTCTACTGAAGATGAAACGAACTTGCTTGCTTACCTGCTGAAGACTGGAGCTCTGCTCTGAGCTTGCAACATGTTTCTGTTTGAGTTTGCTCCGTGTTGGAGAAATCGACAACTGGTTTGTAAAATCTGATTATGTTTATAAAGATGTTAAATGAAGCATCAGCCATCTGTGTTTATTTTTCTGGTGCTGAATTATCACTGCAAAATTCTCAATAACCTTCTGACAAGCAAAGTCCATCGGGAAGCCAGATTCACTGAACAACTGGGTTACCAACTTATCCATTGCAGTGGTTCATTTAACAACTATGGCAAACAAGTTAGGACAAAACTCACTGAAGAAACGCCTCGCTTAGCAGTGGAAATGTTGGGCCCAATTGTGGTCGTAAGTCAAAGACTACCTGTGTTTTTCATTTCCTCCTTCCTCTCAAGAGTCTTTTCCTAACAGCATTCCTTGGAACGATCTCCTCATCCAAAAACTCTCCAGAGAGATAAAATGACCACGAGAGTCACCAAAAACAAGTCAAAACAACACTTACTACGTTCCCCTGCTTGACACAATAGCCGCTCTTGAGGACTAGAGGTCCCACTGGGGTTTTGGTAGCAGGGTTGTAACTCTGGGACCGCTTCAACAAAGGGTGAGATGAAAGCTCGTGGCCTTCGGAGCCATCTCCTCCATTCTGCAAAGGAAAAAGGGAAGAAAAGTTCCAGTTAGACTAGAGCAGGGGGTACTTGAATACAGCTCATCAGTCTGGAATCCGCATTACGTATCTGATATTAATACAGGAGAGAAAGTCCAGAAATATTTCACAAGAAGAGTTCTCCACTCCTCTACTCGTTGCAGAATACCTTATGCCACCAGACTTGAAATTTTAGACCTAAGCAACCTAGAACTACGCCGCCTTCGCTCCAATCTAAGTATAGTACATAAAATTATATATTGCAATATCCTACCTGTCAATGAATATTTCAGCTTCAACCATAACAATACAAGAGCACACAATAGATACAAACTCAAGGTTAACCGCACCAAACTTGATTGCAGGAAATACGACTTTAGCAACAGAATGGTCAATGTCTGGAATACTCCACCTGACTCTGTGGTTTCTTCCCCAAACCCCCAAAACTTTAACCTTAGACTGTCTACTATTGACCTCACCCCTTTCCTAAGAGGTCTGTAGGGGGCATGCATAAGTGCACCAACCTGTCTACCGTCCATGTCCTATTGCTTCTTTTTTATTCGTATCCATTTCATGTATTCATAACCATGCTTATACTTATACCTGTTATCTAATACTTGCTTGACAAATAAATAAAGAATTCCTCAGCCAGCATAAGCATAAGTTCCAGACAGACCTGGTTATCCTAAGACTGCCAATTAATTTAATCTACGTCCTTTCTACTTAAAAAATCCCCAGGTTTTCAAGGACCCCCCGTAGTTCTTCTCTCAACCACAGCTCCACGAACAAACATCATCATGTTCATTAAATTAACCCAAGCTCACTAAATTATTCCAAGAAAACATACTTCTTCAGTGCCAAGATGTGCAATTGCCAATCCCAAATTGCTGTCATTCCTGAAAAAGTTGGGTGAGGCCCTTAAGAGTCTTTACAAAGGTAGCCACCCAATGCTCATTTTTAATAACGTAAAGGAGGAAATGCTGAGATACGTGAGGAATCATCATCAGTTGCTCTATGTAATCCATTAAGTTACTTGATATATTTTAATTAAACTTTTATTTCATGTAGCTTTTTTTTCCCCCCGGCCCTACCCTCTTCATGATCCTTTCCCTTCCAAACTTTTTGAAGCAACCAAAAGCCACAAAATGGGCCTCCTTGACTTAGAGGAAGGGTAACTTTTATTCCTTCCTGCCTAAAACCACTTTCCCATTAAGAGGAACGATAGGGAGCATCAAGAAAGTGAAGATGGTGGCCGCAACCACAAGAACAAATTACTACCTCCCTGTGCAACATGAGATGTAAACAAAATGGAAGGACTTCCAGTGGCCATTTTGTCTTTTTTTTTTTTAACCTGGCACTGTGCACCTCTTTGCTTCCCTTGCACCAATTTTTCTTCATCTTGGTTCTTTAGTATGGGTGGACTTCAACTTACAGAATTCTCAGCTGGCATATTGGCTGGGGAACTGTAGGAGATGAAGTCCACCCGTCTTAAAGTTGCCAAGATCGAAAAATATAGTAATATAGCAATCGGCTGGAGGTCACACAACATACCCAGATTATGGGATGAATAAGATGGTAGACTAACTTCAACCCAAAATTGACTATTGCCACTTCTTCTCTTTTTGTTTTAGACCTCCTTTCCATTTTTGACATCTCCTCTCCATTTTAACTTCTTTCTTGTAGTTTCATTTCTTTTTTTCTGTCAACCACTGCCCTTCTGGGGAACCAGAGCAACTCCGTGAATAGGGCAAAGTAGTTTCTTTATTGTTGAATCTCACCAGACTGAAATGGAAGACAAAGACTTCAAGACTCTTCCTCCTACGGAGTGAGTCCAAACTAGATCACCTCTTTACTCTTCCCTCTATACCAAGGGTCTTCAACCTTGGCAAGTTTAAGACTTGTGGACTTCAACTCCCAGAATTCCTGAGCTAACATGACTGGAGGAGGAATTCTGGGAGTTGAAGTCCACAAGTCTTAAACTTGCCAAGGTTGAAGAGCCCTGCTCTATATCAGCAGGTGTGTTCATCACAATAAGAAAAAAAAATCTAATATATAAACGATGAAAAAAGTAGCTAGATAGCATCATAGACAAAAGTCTGTGAACTCACTAGAAGATTAAAATCTATGTAGAAACTAAAGGTGGATTATCTATATATATAAAAGTGAAATACCACTCATGCATCATCACAAAATCTCCAGAACCGTAAAGCCTACAAACTTGAAATTCGGCATGTATGTTCCTCTTGGCTTCTAAGTGCTCACTAAGAAAGGGTTTTTTGAAATGACCATCAGAGCATTAGTATTTCGTATATTATTATTATTATTAACATGCTCTGATGCTAAGGAGTTCTACTCCCCCTCCCCACCTGGAAATAAATCTGTTCCAAATGCAAAACACAAGCAGAGGAGTTTCAGTTTCAGAGCACCAAGCACTTTTAGTACAGAACAGTTGAGCTAAGCCACGCCCAGGCTCCTTGCTGTCTCCTTCTTACTCACACAGCAAATACTGTTTCAGTTACCAAACAGCCCTCAACTCTCTCACACACTGATAGGATGCTAGCCAGATGAATACCAATGGATGCTGCTAGGTAGAAGCAGAATTTTCCCCCCTTATTTTCCTCCCCAAAAACTAAACCCGATCACATAGTTTTGTAGTGAAGCACGGGTATCAAGCTAGTACATTATATACCTTAAATCCATATTGTAATAATTATTAATAGATGAAAAGGGCTGGATACTGGATTAAGATTAATTAATTGTATCAGCACCTTGTCCTATATTCTATAAAATTAAAAGTAAATTGCTTTCCAGAGCCATGTACAAAACAGCATACGGAGCCTTATGGTTTGTGTAAGAGCCTCAGTGGCGCAGTGGTTAGAGTGTAGTACTGCAGGCTACTTCTGATGACTGCCGGCTGCCTGCAATTTGGCAGTTCAAATCCCACCAGGCTCAAGGTTGACTCAGCCTTCTATCGTTCCGAGTTGGGTAAAACCCAGACTGTTGGAGGCAATATGATGATTCTGTAAAAACCACTTAGAGAGGGCTTTAATAAAGTGGTATGTAAATCTAAGTCCTATTGCTATTGTGTAAATTGATATTTTTCAGCAAAATAGACATGGTTGAATGTATTCTGTTGTTTAATGGAGAAAAGCAGGTGTGATTTCTGGCTGCAGAATTGCCTTCCTGAAAACCTAACGGTTGCTAAGAAGCAAAGAACCTATAAAATCCTTTGGAGCTGCAAAGCCATGTGGGGAAAATCCACTGAAATCTGTAGTCAGAAAAGGGATGAAATCAAGAGAGGAAGCAACTTCTGCTTCCTTCTCTCTCCATACCTCCAATAATTAATCCTGTTACTGATAAGGATAATTATGCAATTTCTCCCTATTTCCAAGATTGCAGAATCATGCCTCGCTTGGAAAGAGAGCGACTAGCTTTACTGGCTCCATCCCAATTTATATTTTTATTACAAAAGGCCAAGAGAACAGAGACTGCATTCTTGTTTTTTCGTCTTCTTTCTATTCTGAAGTTGGGGCAGAATATTTTTTCCCAAGAGAATAATGATCAGCAATTACAGAAGAGAAAGAGCACCAGGAAGAGGCAAACTAGGAATGCAAGGGGAGTGGAGAATGCAGAGAAAACGTATGGAATTGAGTTCCAAAAACTGGGGGGAAAGTTAGTAAAAACTTTGCAATCTAGTTTTGCTTAAATGGGGGACTGAACAAAGAGAGACACTTGAGGGTACAGCTTTGGTCTTTATCAGCCACTACTTTGGAGAAGCAAGTGAGATTTTCTTCCTTACATAAATTACAGAAGTGCCTGTTTCATGCTTTTTTAATAATTCCAACTCCCCAAATACCAAGAGACACACACAATGCACCACTGTGTGAACCACGTTGTGTAGCTGGCTTCCTCAGTCAAGACACCAGGCTCCCTGGCTTTGGAAGATCCATAACAAAGACCCTTCTGTCTCAGCCAACTTAGGCCTACCCTCTAGACAGTGGAAAGAGCTAACACACACACACACACACACACACACACACACACACACCACCATCCAAGATAATAAAACTTGTCCCTTTTGAAAGACAAGGCAAATGTAGCATCAAATGCAGATGCTCACAGGCAGCCTGCCAGGAATTGAAATTTCCAAAACAGAAATGAAAAGGAAGGACTGGCAGGAGCAGTGGTGGGATTCATTTTTTTTTACTACCAGTTCTGTGGGCGTGGCTTGGTGGGCTTGGCTTGGCTTGGTGGGCGTGGCTTGGTGGGCATGGCAGGGGAAGGTTACTGCAAAATCTCCATTCCCTCCACATCCAACTAACCTGCTTTCCAGCTCCGTTCTCCTGTGCAGGGCAACCAAAGAAGACTCAACCGATCAGCTGGGACTCAATGGGAGGCAGAGAATGAACGGGGGCAGGGCCAGTCAGAGGTGGGATTTGCTGGTTCTCCAAACTACTCAAAATTTCCACTACTCATTCTCCAGAACTGGTCAGAACCTGCTGAATACCCACCTCTGGGTAGGAGAAAACTGAGCTGGCAAGTAGGGTGAAAGAAGAGGTTGGCTGGTATATGAGGGGAAAAAATGTAGACTTTTGAAAAGGAGGAGGGGAATTCTGGTGCATCAAGGTCAACCATCTTGATGTTTTTTTTCTTCATGCATGCCCCATGGACAGAGAGCAGCCTGTTGGGAAGCTGCCATGAAGATGATTTGCTTGGGAAACTTCCTTAAAAGGAAGTTAAGTGAGCCGGGAATAGGATGGCGCCTTCAACTTTTGATGGATAAGAGGAAGGAAGGGAGAGAAAAAGGGAGGGAGGGAGAGAAAGAGGGAGGGAGGGAGACAGGGAGTGAGTGAGTGAGAGAGGAAGGAAGGAAGGGAGTGAAGGAGGAAGGAAGGGAGGGAGTGAGACAGGGGATGAGTGAATGAGTGAGGGAAGGAGGAAGGGAGTAAGATAGGGAGGGAGGGAGGGAGGGAGGGAGGGAGGGAGGGAGGAAGGAAGGAAGGAAGGAAGGAAGGAAGGAAGGAAGGAAGGAAGGAAGGAAGGAAGGAAGGTAGGAAGGATCTTCCATTGCTTTTCAAAAGGGCAGATTCCCAATCTGAGAAGGAAGTTCTGCATGACATATTTTTCGGCAGAGTTCCTCACTCCGGTCATTGAACTGCCTGCTTCAAGGTGTTTCAAAAGAGAGAGACCTGATACCCAAGAGGCCATCTTCCACCAGATAAAATGCTGGGTGGCTGGAAATGATTTGGCTTTCTCCATTACTTCCATGTGAGGTGGAGCAACTTGCAAAACAGCTGGAACCAGGAGATCAAGGAGACACCGAGGAAGAGCTGTCCCAGAGGTGCTTTTTAAGGAGGCAACTGGACTTTCTGGTTGTTGTTTTTCTTTTGAAGACGTTTCGTTTCTCATCCAAGAAGCATCTTCAACTCTGACTGAATGGTGGGGAATAGAAGGATTTCTACTCCTTGCAGACAGCTGGTCATTTGCATCCTTTTAGAGAGCTGTTGAGGCCACTTGGAGGTTTATCTGTGTCTTCAAGGCCACCTGAGCAGTGCTCTTGTTTCCTGTAGTCTGCATTTTTTTCTTCTAGACATCCGTTCATACTCCCATACCATCCCAAATCGTATAGCTAAAAGTATGTAGAGATTCTCAGTCCTCCAAGTCAGGGGTCCCCAACCACCGGTCCCCGGACCGGTACCGGTCCGTGGATCATTTTTTACCGGGCCGCAAAGCTTGGGCGCCGCCATCTTGTTTTGACGGCGCTTCCGGGTTTTCGGTTGCTTCCGGGTTTTCGGTTGGAAAGTGGCGTTTGGGTGCTCGCGCCTTAGTTTCGTCGAAGAGGGGGGGCAGCTTCGAATGAAGAGCCGTCTCGATGGCGGTGGAGTCTCGCGTTACTCAGGTACCGGTCCGTGGAAGAATACATAATTGTGAAACCAGTCCCTGGTTCAAAAAAGGTTGGGGGCCACTGCTCCAAGTCATGGTTGCCCCAAAGGTGCTTTTCCAGGAGGCAACAGGACTTCCTTCTTCTTTCTTTTTTTGAAGACGTTTCGAGGATAGAAGTGAAATGTCTTCAAAAGAAAAAAAAAACCCAAGAAAGTCCAGTTGCCTCCTGAAAAAAAGCACCTTTGGGAGAAAACCATGTCCTGGAGGACAAAGAATCTCTACAGACTTCTGCACAGAGCTGAACTGCAATGTTCCAGATCATGTTGACTGGATGGAGTTCTTACATGCCGTCTACATTTCCCACAAGTCCCCAAGGCCATGCTCAATTAAAGGCACTGTGAGAAATCCCATCATGGGCCAGATCTCGTGCCTTGTAGTGTTTCCAGAATTGACTCAGAAGAACACAAAACTTAAGAGAGGGCACAGAACAAGCTTTTAACCATGGCACCTACTAGAATGTTGAAGCTATGGCATCCACCCAAAGATGGCATAGATTAGCGCCAGGGTGTCCCCAGAGTATCACACTCCCAAGAACTGTTCCTAGCTCAATCTTCCTACTTGTTCTTCTACAGCATGTGAGTGAACCTTCCACCCCTCTTTTTTTTTTTTTTTTGCAACATTCAGTATCACAACCACAACGCCCGCAGGTGTGGAAGGCTTTTCTTTCTCTTCTTTTTTTCGTGGGTGTGGGAGAAGGAGACTGTCAAGCCTGAAATTGACATACGTGTAGCCATTTTAGTTAGGCTTAGTATATATTCTTTTTCTTACTTTCTTTTTGGTGGTCATGGGTGGGAAGGGTTTCGGGCTTGCCACATTCCTAAGGGGAGAGGAGCGGAGAGTTATTTAGGCTAGGTGGTTCTTCTTCCTGTGGGAAAATGAGCTGTGTTCAGGCCCCTTGAGGTGGAGATTTATGACATCAAGCAACGTTGAATTACTTCTATTGGAGAAAGTGACTTTTGGGGGGTTGCTTCTAATTTTTAATATTGTGAGGTAATTCCAGGTTGGGTCAGATCCAGAATTACCACGGACTTTGCCAATTGGATGTTTTCCTAAATAAAAGAAATTGTTTTGGAAGATGGACTTTGCTCTTTTCCTTTTAAATGGATTTCATCCCTTGGAAACCTGACAGAGACATTAAATAATATCTAAAACCAGGAACACAATTTCCAAGCGAGCAGAAGGTTTACATTTAATTGACCATATTTAATTGCAATGCTATCCATTGTAGCATACTAGGCATTTTGTCCTCTGTCATCCTGAGAAGGCACTACATTGATACAGGAGAAGCTTTTATAGAGAGAACATAATTTTTGTGCATAATTTTTTCAAGGGTGTAAGCTACCAAAGAAAGCCTCCTCCACACCTTGTGGTGGCTGCTGGAAGTGGAATATACCTTGGGACTATTGTCAATGGAGATTCTCAGTCATCCAGGCCACAGTTGTCCCCAAAGTGCTTTTTCAAGAAGCAACTGAAGCTTCTTGGATGAGAACCAAAACTTCAAAGAAAAACAAGGAAGACTACTTTTTTAATCACTTGAACCATGAATGTTGAATTAAACAGCCTGCCAGTTTATTATATCATCCACTTGCTTGAACTTCTGAAGCTGAAATTTCCAGAATTCTCAGCCCACAAAAGTTGGTAGGAAGATTCTAGGCTATTAGAAGCTTCTTTGGGGTCTTAGAGATGAAAACAGTGGAAGATAGGATAAGAATATGAATAGAAGAAATTATCGAATGTGGACTGGAGTGGAAACTGGAACTGTTCCTTCTGGGAATGATTAAAGGGGAATACCCTCCCAAAGTGAGATATCTGATCATCCACTTATTAACAGCAGCAATATTAGAAAACGCCCGATGTACCACTGATACACATTAGTATTCAAAAAAGCTACGAATGCGCCGAAATGGAGAGGCTCATGCTCAAATTAAATGGGAAGGAAGAGTCAGAGTATTATTTGGTTTGGGATAAGTGGTACAGCTGTGTAGAGTGCAAGAAAAAAGGTATACAGGATAAATGAACCCAGGACACATACTATAGTTGTATATATTGAATGTATAATAATAACGATTTCAAGCTTCTCATCTATTATATAAATATTATGAAGGCTCCATTTGATTAACCAATACAGTTATAATCCAATAGTAATAGCAGAATAATATATTATTTATTAATTAATAGGTAATTGATAAGGGATAAGGAATACTTGCCAATGATTACTTACTACTGTTTACTATGAGCTATCAATCTTAATATCAAATGTAATAGAAATACGTTTATTGTTCTATTTATATTCTTTTTATTCTTTCATATTTGCATGTTTGTTTGTGTTTTAATCTTTTGTAAATAAAGTCTATTTTAAAACTAAAACAAAAACAAAAAACAAAGTGGAAGATAATGCTCAGTTCCCTCTTCCATTTAGGTGCATGGGGTCCTTGTCACCTATGGCCCTGAGGTACATAGTAATGTACAAGATTATTCATGCTGAAATCCGCAATTCTCCAAGGCCCTCAGGAGGAGAAGGAAAGAAGGAAGGAAGGAAGGAAGGAAGGAAGGAAGGAAGGAAGGAAGGAA